CTCTACCATATTTGCGTATTACTTTTCTGCTATTATCTCTACCATATCTTCCGTCTACTTTACCTATATTTCACTATTTTGGGCAACTCGACATTGGCGACTTTATCCTTTTGCCTTTATGTGGTCATGCACATAGAGGAGGTGCTGAACTGATTGAGTTGTATCTTAGAGTTGACTGTCACTGTCCGCACATGCATGTAGGGGGAGGGCTATCAACTTTAGGTCAACGTGTTTATCACGTGCATTTGTATCAGGCCAGCCTTTCATTAACTTTACTTTAATATTTTTCTTGTTTTATTTCATTGTATTTTACATGTAACAATTATATTATAAGTGTGTCTATATATATTTACATGTAACTAAATACATACAAAACTACTCATTGATTTAATTTCTGCAAAACTGAATTTACTTGTCAATTATATTCTAAAAAAGTTTAGTGTGATTCCTATTATAGTATTTTTGTGCGTAAAATTATAGTTCCATAATAATCTAAATTTGATAGTTTCTTCAAATAGCTTCTTGAGTAATAGCACTAAAACAAAACGTTCTCTGTTTTTGGAAATTAAAATTACTATTGACTTTATAATTTTTCTAAAATAAAAGGTATTACAAAACAATTTTTATTGAATCTATTGGGCGAGCCCAATTTATTCAAATACACAATAGTTGCAGCATTATTTAATTTATATTTTGTTTCATAAGAAAGTAAATTTTTGGAAAGGGTTCTATTTTCAAAAGAAAACTACTTATTTGAAAAATAGTTTTCCAGCATTTTTAAATTTAAATTGGTGTTTTTAAAACTATTTTTAGCATTAAGTTCTATAAGAATAGTTTCTGTGTTTTCTATTAGAAAAAAAAAAGAAAAGAAAAGAAAAGAGTTCTATTGAAAAAGAAGAAGAAGAAGAAGAAGAAGAAGAAGAAGAAGAAGAAGAGAGGAACAATTAGGTTTTTTTTTTTTTTTTGTTTAATTTATAAGGAAACTATTTCTACCTTGAATAAAAAAAAAATTTGTTCTTCTATTTATATAAACTACTTTGTTTTATATATATATATATAAATTTGTTTTGTTTAAGTTTCTCTTATATATATGTGTGTGTGTATATATATAAGGCAGTTTTACTTTTAGAAACAAATATATTTTAAACAGTCCAATTTGAAGGAAGGAATAAAAACAGTTTCTACTTTATTAAATAACAAAATAGATTTTGAAAAACATGATTTATTAGAAAATAAGTTGGTCTAAATTTGATTTTTATTTTGTTGGAAAAATTATAGTGACTTCAATTTCAATAGATAATTGACCCTACAACTTTCACATACGTAGACTTGGTATCCAACTCAATTTGAGGTCTAAGTAATATAATGATGACGATAGAGCAGGATCACTCTAGCGAGTTCACCTTAGGATTTAATCGTTCAATTAATCTTACCTATGATAACATTGATTGGTGGTTAGACTCGAGGGCAAATGTACATGTATGTTTTACTAGTGACTATTTTAAGACTTATCAAAAATTAATTGGAGGAAGTGTAACCTTAAGAAATAATTTTATCACACAAATTCAAGCAATTGGAGACATGGAATTAAAGATGACCTCTGGGAAGATTCTAACTTTAAAGATGTGCGACATAAATCCAAAGTGAGGAAAAATTTAGTTTAGTGGATCTATTTTAGTTCAACAAGGGTTTAACTTTGTAAGGGAGTCAAATAGAGTTGTAATTACAAAGAACAATGTTTTGTGGGTAAATGTTATATTAGTGAGGGATTATTTAAGTTGAACATTATTTTCGATGCGAATGGAATTTCTCTTCAAGTTTATAGCGTTAAATTTTGTGATGTTTGGCATTGAAGACTTAGATATGTTAGTTGAAGAAAATTAAGAAATTGATGGATCTTAATTTACTCCCAAAGTTCAAGGTAGATTTTAATCAAAAGTGTGAGATATGTGTATAAGCCAAACAACCTAGAAAACCTCACAAAGCAGTTATCAGGAATACAAAAATTATAGAACTTATACATAGTGATGTGTGTGATTCTAATAGACCACGAACTGGGGGTGGCAATAAACACTTTGTGACTTTTATTGATGATTTTCTAAGTATTGTTATGTATATTTGATAAAGACTAATGATGAGATTTTAGATAGATTTAACAATTATAAGAGTGAAGTAGAAAATCAATTGGAGAAAAATATTAAAAGATTGAGGTTCGATAGAGGAGGAAAATATTCTTGGAATAAACTTGGAGACTTTGTGAGGAACATGGAATTATACATAAAGTAACTCCTCCATATTCACATCAATCAAATGAAGTAGCCGAAAGGAAAAATAGAACTCTCATGGACATGGTTAACTCAATGTTATTAAGTAGTGGTGTACCAGAGAATTTGTGGATGTAATGCACGGTTCTTTTTTCCCATTTTCACAGATTTTCTTTTTCCTTTGATTTTCCTTTTCTAAATACGGGTTTTGTTTCCTTCGTGTCATCTTGAGTGCTCGGGAATAGTTCCTGACACTCTTTCTTTTGGGAGATTGGTATCATTTTTGTGAGGACCGTGTCATCTTCTTTCTTTTTTTGACAGTTTCCTTTTTCGTCTTTTTCCAGTTATCGTTTCTTTTCGCGTAACCTCGCGGTTTGTGCTTGGATTTGATCCCGACTCTGCATGCATCCATTTCTTTTAATTTTCATGAAATGCGTAGTTTTACTTTTTTTTTGAAAAACATGCTACTTGTTTACTTTTCGCCGTAGGGGTATGGATGCATAGGTTTTTTCGAAAATATTTACGCTTTTGTGGTGTTTTTTGTACTTAAATTTTGTAATTATTTTTCATCTTAGGGAACTTTTTGGCAATTATTTTTAAAGATATTTTGGGGAGGGAACTTTTTGCAATTTAAAAAAAAAAAATGTGACAAGTGTCACACTCTCATTGATCCACTTGTAAGCATTCCATTGGTGACACTTGGGAGCCTTCGATTGGTGACATGTGAAGTGTGATGATTCACCCACTTGGTGGCCTGAGATTGGTCCACTTGTTGGCTTAGGATGTGGACAAATGTAGGGCTTAGATGAAGCCTTGGGAGGAGGCTTAGGATGGTGACAAGTGGAGGGACAAGATTGAGTCTTGCATTTGTGTGTGAGAAAGGTAGTGTGTGAGTGTGTGTTTTTTTTACTATCATTGACTATGTGAGTGGAGGAATACATAATTTTCATTTAGGTTTTCATCTCTTTCTCTCCTAAAAGCAACCATTGTTGTAACCTTTAACCTAGACCTTGTAACCTTGGTTTTGAACCCTTTCCACTCACCTTTCGACCTAAATCTTGGAATACAAAAGCTTCCCCTAATCCTCCTTTACAAAACCCTTGTCCAGTTTCTTGTTTTGCCTTTGCTTTCTTTGGATTATAGAGATTATATTCTCTATTGAGGTATGGGTTGTTGTATGTTTATTTCCTTAAAGTTTAATTGTTTTTGAGGTTCTGTATGTGGTGTATACATGCTTGTTGAACTATAAGATTGCATTAAGATGCAGTTTCTATATACTTGACCTTAGGTTTAATGATTCGAAGTATATATAGTTTATTTATCTTGTATAGAGATGTTATTTAATTTAGTAGATTACTAAATTCTAGAATATATAATTATCTTATGTAGAGATGCTAATTAATTTAGTAGATTATTAAATTCTAGAATATATATTTATCTTGCAAGAGATGCTATTTAATTTAGTAAGTACTAAATTCTAGAATATATATTTATCTTGGGTGGAGATGCTATTTAATTTAGTGGCTTACTAAATTTTAGAATTCATGTTTGCTGAAATGTGGAAGTCTTATAGATTATTATTAATTACCTTGTATGCTTATTATTGTGTTGTTGTTAATTTAGTATTTATGCTACTATGGTAATTAGACTTAGTTGATATGTGATATCAATTGTAGTGTTTAACAAGTAGCACATTGAAGACTTGACATTTTATATGCCTTGTTATGTGTAACGAATCGCACATTATTGAAGATTCGACATTTTGAATGCCATGTAATTGGAGGCTATAGTGCATGATTTGTGTGAGTCCAAGTATGGTTGTGCATGGTAGGTGTTTAAATGCATTTTACTTAAAGTGTTTAAGTTATACGTTTCTTGTTGATTTTGGGAAACTTGGGGCATCGACCTTTGAACGGCTAGAGCACGGCTCTAAAGAGGAAGATACGAGTGTTTCCCATATAGTGCGCACTTAAGTGGTTCCTAGCGGGTTAGTACCCAAAATAACTACATGCGTGGTTTGATCCACGAAGGCGTCTGAGTATTCTGTCATGTGATTTCATTTTCATTTACAAGTTGACATTACCTTTGAAGTTGTAGCTTGTCGAGTTCACTAGTAGTGAATGGTTTATATATGTTTCAATTTCGTTTAGTATACTTATGCCTAGTATGCTAGAATATTGCGTATTTCATTTCACTTGCTTAAGGTAGCTTGAGATGCTCCCTTAGTTCACTTTACAACTTAGACGTTAGGTGGAATGATCCCTTGTATTGATCTATACTGAATTTGCATGGCACTTGAAACTTTAGGATATACGTATGTACTTCTTCCTACGAGTAACTTGTTTACTCACCCTAATTGCTTGGGATATTTTCAGGTAAGGAGACTTTGTATTGGGATGCACAACATTCCTATGTTTACTTGGTTGCTTGAAGCACTTTTGCGTATTTTGTAAACATGCACGTGTTAGCATGTTAGCTTCTCTCTTTTCTTTTTTTTCTTTTTTTTTAATATGTCAAAACTTGTAATCTTTACCTTAGGTATGTAATGTGTACCCGAGTACACTTTTTGGGATTTATTTTATCTGTATAACTTAAGACCAAGGGCCATGTACTTTTAAGTTTACATTTGTGCACTTTTGATTTCATGTCTAACTTACGAAAGTAAAGTATTTTGATGTTATTGCTTGCCATAGATTGGAAGTATTATTCGGACATGATGAGGAGCAAGATACGGAGATGGCAGTCCCTTTTTTGAGAAGCCACACCCGTGTAAGCGTGTATGGTTGCAAAAATTTAAGATGCCTTTTCTCAACCTCCATCGTTAAAGGTGATCTTGAGAAACTTGAATGTTTGAATGTATCCCAGTGCTACAAATTGCAAAATGTAATTGAGGATAAGAAAGGAAAACAAGAAGCGGCTACAGTTGAATTTCCCTGCCTGTCCTCGATATCACTTAACCACTTGTATAATTTGAAGAGTTTCTGCACCTGGCATTATACTATTGAATGGCCATCTTTGGAAAGTCTGGTTATCCAATATTGTCCGAGATGGAGACTTTTGGTTATGGAGACCAAGTAACACCCCAACTAAAGAAAATAGTGAAACATGAATATAGGGGGCTAAGGATTGTGATCACCATCAATCGTGGCGACCTTAATCACGTTGTGCAAAATCACTTCGGACCCAAGGTACATATCATTGAGCATATATAATGGTCATCCATGGATCACTATATAGATTATATCCTATTAATTAATTACAATGATAAAGAACGTACAGTGGGATGGTTTTTCAGGTAGCAGCTTCGGAGGCAGGTCCCAGTCAGTCTTCCTCGTAAAGGCATGATCCACTTAAAGACTGTGCGATCAGGTTTGTATGATGAATTACTATAGGCGACTAGAAGAAGTCTAAAATATAAATATTCACTGATGAAAATTTTCTTCCTTGTATTTGTTTGAAAAGTAGGAGCTTGGTGATGATTCCCAGGAGTTTGATTTCCAACTAGCTCTTTCTGCAAGATGCAAAAATGGAAAAATGAAAATGGTGAGCTTGTTTCAGTTCTCGGTTATTGAAATAAAGATATTTCATCTCCAACACACATGCGTGCTTCTTTCATGTATTGTAATCTTTTGGTGTGTTTCATTATACTTATGACGGTGTGTTTACTTGTTTAAACCAATAATATTGTACCTGAGTGGAATATTTTATATATAAATTTGTTGTTGTTGTTGTTGTTGATTTAATAAAATAGCATGAAGTTTTTATTCGTTTTTTTTTTCCTTGACAAATAACCCTCACAATATTTTAATTAACGTTTTGCTTTAAAATAAGAAAATAATAATAATAATAATAATAATACTACAAGGAAAAGAAAATTTTCAAAGTGATATAACAAGGAATTTCAGAAAGCTTTCTATCAACACTCTTATTCAACACTTAATTGTCAATTCTACCATCTTAAGCAAAAATCAAGCGAGGGAGGGATATATTTGATATGAATATATGGCATATAGTCAAACACTCAAACAGTCAAACACATAACGCAACTCAAAGAAATACAAGCATATGCAAAAGACCGACTTACAACTTGAAATGTAAGACATATTAATATATGGAGACCCAAAGCAAAACATACCAATCAAGCTGAAGTGCATTTAAATATAAATTATGAAAGCACCTTACTATAAAAGTAATGGGCATTTTGCCATTACAATATTTGTTCTATATATATATATATATATATATGCAAACACAAAGAGAATAAGATTAAGATAATTAAATAAATCAAATGTTAAAGCTACAAAGATGTGATTGTATAGATTTCACTTTCAATTCACATTTGCTGATTTAATAAATTGCTTAAACATAAATCAGTATTATTCAATATGTTCTAAAAATAACTGAAATTTAAGTTAAAATTTAAAATAAGCAATGTATAAACTGTATGAAAAATGTACATGGGCCCAGGAGTACAAGACTTGGGGAGGGAAAACTAGCCCAACCCACAGCATATAAAGCATAAATAGGCCCAACAGCTTCCATAAGACCACACAACTGTAAGTGAAATATTCCATGATCACTTCAAGAAATTTAATCAGGATTAGTCGAAACCATGAATGTTTTAGTACGATGTTGAATCTATCATAAGGGCTGTAGCTTGCAAGTATGATGAATCTGTCTAGTTAAGAAAAAGTTGGAATCTGTCTAATTAAGAAAAAGTTCAATTAAACACGTAGGCTACGTCCTAAAATATTTTTTTTGGAAAATTCAGGTAATATATATATATATATATATATATATATATATATACTTCTCTGTGTTTGACAAATATCTAGGTCGAGTCCATCGGATGACGTGAATAATAGTTTACTGAAAATTGATGATTAAGTTATTTTAGATACATTTTATTATATATATATTTTTTCGTAAATATTTACAACAACCAAACACCCAAAAACACAATAAATATTTTTTTAAAAATATTTTATACTCAAACAAATGGAGCCGTAGTTTAAATTCTCGATTAAAACCATGATCATAATTGTCAAACTTTGCTATCCCTTGCTTTGGCTGTATGCATGGCACGAGTTGAAGCATTATATTAATTTGCAATCTTGTTGGAAGTCAACTTCTCCTTGGTCCTCACTTGATTCTTCTTCTAGTCTCTATTTTGATGTATTTTTTACTAGTTGCAGTTCATATAAATATGGCCAGCTGATTTTTACTAGTTTATGACAATTTCTGTGAGAGTAATGATCCACGTCTTCACGGTGTCTCACAATGGTGGGTCTTCTACCATAGCGATGAATCTCCTATTAATTTTGTATTGCAAAATTCATACAAGGAATATTTGTTTGCCTCAGTGAAGCTTGGTTCAAGCCAGCTTAGCTACAAACTTGGACTTTGACAACCCTGGCCCGCTCGTGAGCAAAGAGTTTGTCACTGTATCTTCTTAGGGCACCAAACAGTTATTATTGTCGAATTTTGGTAGTAGCTGTGGTTATATAATAATAATAAAATTTATTTGTAATCTTCTATTGAGGATGCCAAATTCATCAATGTTGTTATGAACGATCGAAGTGAACTCAAAATTACATGTTAACTCAAATAAATTAAAGAGATAAAAAGAGAAATATATTGATACATGATTAGTTCTATACAAACACAAATTTTAAAAATATTTTCACAAGCAGATAGTGTTCTTATTTACCTCTTGCTATTATAATATTACTCATATTTCTTTTTACCTTTTTCCAGTAAATAGTTGAAGGTGGAAGTAATTTTTTTTTTTTTTTTTTCCTGATAAAGTGGGTTTTATGTATTTGTCCAAAGAAAAAGAAAACAGAAAAAAAGAAATGGTGTTTTAGTTTATTTGGCCCATTCAACCAAATGCAATTCTATGTTAGAGTCAATTTTGGTTGTCTTCTTCAATTAGTTAGACATGAACATGTATTATTCCCTAGTCGCCACTAACCAACTGGTTTGTAACACCCGTGTAAATATATATATATATATATATATATATATATATATATATATATAGATACATATATTTATTTATTTAATTTAATTTAATGGTCATTTATGTTTGAATTTAAAAATATAGTAGAGATATTAGAGTTTTTAAATTTAAAATCTAAATAGGAATCCTAAACTATCTCAAATGCAGTTATAGTTATCTTTATATTTCATGTCATATCAGTTCTACGAGGATATTATTATTATTATTTTTAAATATAATATTAGCACGATACAGCGTGATAGGACGGAGATCTAGAGAGAAGTGATCTGACGTCGTGTCTTTCTGCAATAGTCGAGGGAAGGAACGATAATCTGAAATTCGCGTAGGAAGGAGGAATTAATTTTACCCCAGGCAAGTTAATCTTGCTTTGTATACTTATATATACACGTAACTTTGCCTATTTGAATTGATTGAAAATTATTGTAGCATGTTTTTATCTATTGCAGTAAATTAATTTAATGATGACTGGATAATGAAGATATGTATAGGTGAATTGCATAAATACTTGGAATTAGCTTGCTTGTTATGACTTTCTGTTCTTAATTTCTTATGACGATATTATAAATGTTTCTTATGAAACCTAGTTTTGCAATGATAAATTGCAATGATTAAAAGACTTGATGTAAGTGTATACTGACCATGACTAATGAACATGACTATAAAACTTATTGGTTAAATTCAGAGTAAACAATGATAGTTATTTTATTCTAGAATAGATGAAAGATGTGTGATACACATGGCAATATATGTAGCCTCATGTGAGGATTAGTTTCAAGAATTGTATGGAATTTTCATATACGTGTACAATACATAGATGGTTATGCTTGTGTTGTTAAATATAGATTTATATATGTATGATATATACTTTGTCGAGGCCTAGTTCAAGTATTATTAGAACTGGGATCATCTTTGGGTATAGAACAGTGTGTTTAAAATGACTAGTTTAATGGTTAGACTTCATAGGTACATAATTTAGGTAGATTGATTGTGAAATCTAATTCGTAATGGTAATCTAAGTAGGATAAGTAGGGAAAGGAGAACCCAAAATGGGTCTCCTGTGCAAAACAGAATTATTTTTTTCTTTTAATTAATTGCTACTATTATTTGATTTAAACCGAAGAAAAATAGGAAATAAATAGTTTTCATATTTCAAAAATTACAGTAAATTCTAGAATATTACACTTTATCAAAATGGACTTAAATGTGATAACTTACTGATTTTTAGATGATGTTTAGGTAGGTTAACTAAATTAAAACCGAAAGTATTTTTTTTTTTTCTCAACACTAAAAGGGAGAGTGGAAAATCTATTAAGAGATAAATTCTGAAATTTTGCAGGGTATTATATCTAATGTTAGGCTATGTCCAGAAATTTTGTACTCTCACTAGTTGGATCATTAGGGTTTTGTTTTTAAATTAAAATTATATTTGGGTGCATTAACTATTAATTTGAATTATTAATTAATGATATCTTTCATAATTAATAATTAATGGATGAATTTGGATTAGTCGGAGGGGTAGTCAGGGACTGACCCTATGATGGCTTTTGGGTATGGTCAGGGACCTGCCTATTAGGAGTGCACTACCCTTTTTATTATGGCCATGGGTTTAATGAGCCCTTATTGTGTGAACGTGATCAGGGATCATCTGGGGGGTACACGTACAACCCAGCCACATGTGTGTTTTTGGTAGTCAGGGACTACACGATTCACACCACTTTATTAGACGGGAGCCCGGGGTTCATGTGAGATATACAGATTTATTAAAAAATAAATGCTGGTTATTTATTGAGTTATAATTAACTGGAATATGCATATTTAGTTAATGCATTTATTGAGTTGCTTATATATATGGGAATACAAGGTAAGGTTAGCTTGCTGAACGATAATTGTGTTTAGTATTTCTTGCTGGGCTTGTGAGCTCATCCCATTATCACATTTCAGGTGCTCGTAGAGTAGGAACGTGATGGGATCACATGATGGTGACGGATTTTGGCTAGATTTTCGTATTCTTTGGTTTAGTTCAATTTCCCATTGTAATAAGAATGACGATATATTTTGAGATTTAGTTCATTTTGTCCAGTTATCATAGATTATTTTGACGAGGTTGATTGTTATTATGGTTGTATCGATTTAATAAATTAGAGAGTGATTTACATTTACTTCTTTATTTAATTATCTTTTTTGTAAAGTTGTGGTTGTGTAAAGATATGCCAGATTTTAATACGAGACAAGAGTTCATGTATTTCAGTTTTGGGGCGTGACAGTTTGGTATCAGACCCTAGGTTAAGAATTACCTGGCTAAGAGAAGTGATAGTAAGAATAGGAGCATATACTTATACGAATTATTGTTCTCTTACCATGCTCCAGTTTAAAGTATAAATTACTTGTGAGACTTATCATTGACATTCTTTACTGAAAATAGGATGTCAGGAGCTAGAAGAGGCAGAGGACGGCCTGCTAGAGGTATAAGTCTCGGAGGTGCCGATCGTGGTGGTGTTGACCATGACAATGTTCAGTTGGAGGATGCACCTCATGTGCCGAATCCTATAATTGGATTTATCAGAGATATACGCAAATTGGGGGCTGTTGATTTCGTCAGATCTACCAATCCACTTATTGCTGAGAAGTGGATTGAAGATTTGGAAAGATATTTTGAGATGATGGACTGCACTGAGGTGTAGAAAAGGAAGATTGGTGTATTTTTTTTATCTGGTGAGGCGTGCCAATGGTGGCAGTCAGAGACCAGTATGGTTGTGGACATTACAACTATGACCTGGGATGATTGTAAAACTCGGTTCTACGATAAATACTTTCCACAATCAGTGAAGGAGAAGAAGGCAGCAGAGTTCATGCAACTGGAACAGAATAATGATATGTCAGTCAGTGAGTGCGAGAGGAAGTTTACAGAGCTATCTCGATTTGCTCCTCACATTGTTGCGAATGAGTTACACAAGGTTAGAAAGTTTGAGCAAGGATTGGTCTCTTATGTGAAGTAGTTTGTGGTGGGTCATCGTTTTGACACTTATGCTAAAGTGGTGGAATGTGACGTGGTAGTAGAAGAGAATAATAATATTGCCTTTCAGAAACAGAAAGAGCGTAAGGCAGAACAGAAAAGTAAGGGGGCTAGCAGCTCTCAACAGAATCAGAGCAGCTCTCAACAAAATCAGAGGGGTCAGCGGCAGCAGACTCAGAGAAACTGGCAGGGTCAGTCTTGGCAGAGAGGTAGACAAGATTGGTGAGCAGGGAAATGGCAGAGAGTTGGTAAAGGTGAGTAATCCACAGCTTTAGTACCAGCCACACCTCATGATGCACAGCCATATCAATTCAGCGGGCATTGCTACAATTATCGTGAGCAAGGATATTTGGCTCGTAATTGTCCCAAGCCTCACAAGAATAACCAGCAGAAAGGTCAGGCACTATAGTAGCAAGGAGGTGCAAGGGTTTATGCAGTTGTTCCAGATGGGAGACAGGATCGTGCACCACCAGCAGTGGAATGTGCACTTACTATTTATGGCAGTATAGCTAGAGTACTATTTGATTCAGGTTTTTCATATTCTTTTATTGCACTATCATTTATGGATACACTGGAATTAGAACCTGGACATATAAGTAATGCCTTATCTATTACAACTCCACTCGGGAGCACGACGACACTTGATAGAATATGTCGTGCTTGCCTTGTTACAATTGGGGAGTTGGAGTATCCTATTGATTTGATAGTATTACGTATGAGAGACTTTGATGTTATACTGGGTATGGATTGGTTGGCTAGATATCATGCTCAGTTGGACTGCCATGAGAGGATTATTGTATTCTCAGTTCCGGGACAGTTACCTTCTCGATATAAGTGTGGGGAGTTCGAGGGCACCGTGACTATGGGATTTCTTGCCCATATCGAGGTGGTTGAGCAATGCGTGATTATAGAGCAATTACCTATAGTGTCAGAGTATGCAGCTGTGTTTCGGGATATTCCGAGTTTGCCTCCTAGGAGGGTAGTGGAATTCTGCATCGACCTCACTCCGAGTATTCCACCTATCTCTAGGGCAACCTACAGAATGACGCCAGTTGAATTGAGTGAATTGAAGAAACAGACTCAAGAGTTGCAAGATCGGGGGTTTATTCGACCTAGCACATCACCTTGGGGAGCACCTATTTTATTTGTCAAGAAGAAGGATGGGTCACTCCGCTTATGTGTCGACTACTGTGCGCTGAATAAGGTCACTATTAAGAATAAGTACCCATTGCCACGCATTAATGATTTGTTTGATCAACTCAGAGGGGCACAGTTGTTCTCTAAGATTGACTTGAGGACTAGGTACCATCAGCTGAGGATTAGGGAGGAGGATATTCCTAAGACTACCTTTAGGACTCGTTATGGCCTCTATGAGTTCTTAGTCATGCCATTTGGGTTGACTAACGTTCCGGCAGTTTTTATGGATTTGATGAACAGAGTGTTTCGACCTTACTTGGATCAGTTTGTTGTGGTATTTGTTGATGACATCCTGATATATTCCAAGACTAAGGAGGAGCATGAGAGACACTTGAGCATTACACTTCAGACTTTGCGTGAGCATTAACTCTATGCTAAGTTTGAGAAGTGTGACTTTTGGCAGGAGCAGATTCAGTTTTTGGGACATGTGATCTCTAAGGATGGAGTTTTAGTAGATTCTGCCAAGGTGGAGGCTGTGATGAGTTGGAAACGACATACTACTGTCACTGAGATTCGTAGCTTCTTGGGACTGGCAGGATACTACAGGCGCTTCATTGAGGGTTTCTCCAAGATTGCTGCACCTTTGACCCGTTTTACTCGGAAGGATGTGAAGTTTGTTTGGGACCACCGTTGTAAGTAGGCATTTGAGGAGCTGAAGACGAGATTGATATCAGCACCAGTTCTTACCATTCCTACTAGTGGTGAGAGATTTATGATCTACACAGATGCATCACATCAGGGTCTTGGCTGTGTTTTGATGCAAGTTGATAAGGTGGTCGCGTATGCCTCTAGGTAACTTAAGCCACATGAGCAAAATTACCCTACACATGACCTGGAATTGGCAGCAGTGGTTCTTGCATTGAAGGTGTGAAGGCATTACTTGTATGGCGAGGAATTTGAGTTATTCTCTGATCATAAGAGCCTCAAATACCTCTACACTCAAAAGGAGTTGAATATGAGGCAACGAAGGTGGATGGAGAAGTTGAAGGATTTTGATATGACCCTTCAGTATCATCCTGGAAAAGCGAATATGGTAGCAGATGCCTTGAGTCAGAAACCGAGAGGATTAGTTGCCTTTATGATGATTCAGGAGTGGATGATGTTAGAGGCATTGGCAGAGTTTTCTATCATGCCGAGTTCTCAGAGTACAAAGGCTCTTCTTTGTAGATTGACTGTACAACCTACTTTGATCAGCCGGATCATTTATACTCAAACTCAGGATGACAAGTTACAGACCAAAGTAGTTGAGGCTATTAATGATGAATATAATGTCGACTGGATGTATGGAGCTAATGGTGGCATGAGATTTCGAGGTAGGCTATGTGTTCCAGACTTAGCAGATCTCAAGAGAGAGATTTTAGAGGAGTCACACCACTTTAGGTACACAGTGCACCTAGGTGGCACTAAGATGTATCATGATCTTAAGAGGCAGTTCTAGTGGGAAGGCATGAAACGTGATGTGGCAGAGTTTGTATCTAGATGTCTCACTTGTCAGCGAGTGAAGGCTGAGCACCAGAGGCTAGCAGGACTATTACAGCCTTTGCCTGTGCCTGAGTGGAAATGGGAGCATGTGACGATGGATTTTGTTGTGGGGTTACCGAGATCGATACATAACCATGATACAGTGTGAGTGATAGTGGACCGATTGACTAAATCAGCTCATTTTCTACCCATTCGAGCTACTGATACTGTAAAGGAATTGTGTAAGATCTACATCAGAGACATAGTTAAGCTCCATGGAGTGTCGGTGTCTATTGTTTCAGATCGTGATCCTCGTTTTTCATCTCGGTTTTGGAGTAGTTTTCATGCAGCTTTTGGTATTCCTTTGAGTTTGAGTATTACTTTTCATCCTCAGACCGATGGCCAGTCCGAGAAGGTCATTCAGGTATTGGAGGATATGTTTCGTGCTTGTGCACTAGATTTTCGGGGCAGTTGGGAGTCACATTCCACTGGTTGAATTCGCTTATAGTAACAACTATCAAGCTAGTATCGGCATAGCACTGTATGAGGCACTTTATGGTAGGCCTTGTCATTCACCTGTATGTTGGGCTGAGGTTGGTGATGGTAGTTTTTTGGGGCCAAAGTTGGTGCAAGAGACTACGGAGAAGGTTACCATCATTCGAGATCGACTTCGCACAGCTCAGAGTCGGCAGAAGAGTTATGCAGATCAACGCCATCGTGTTTTGGAGTTTAGTGTGGGTGACTTGGTGTTCTTGAAAGTATCACCAATGAAAGGGGTTATGAGATTTGGTAGAAAGAAAGGGAAGTTAACTCCTCGATTCATCGAACCTTTTGAGATTACAGAGAGGTTTGGGGAGGTGGCGTATAGATTGGCTCTACCACCTCGACTATCAGCTGTTCATGATGTTTTCCATGTCTCTATGTTGAGGAGATGTTTGAGGGATGAAACTCAGGTCATTGACTGCACAGAGGTCTAGATTTGCCCTAATACGACTTATGTTGAGATGCCTGTGTGCATTGTTGACAATATGATGAAACAGTTGAGGTGGGCAGAGATACCTCTGGTGAAAGTGCAATGGAATCATCAGGATGAGAAAGAGACTACTTGGGAACTAGAGTCAGAAATGAAGGGAAAGTACCCACATCTATTCGAATAAGGTACGCAAATTTCGAGGGTGAAATTTTTTTCTAGGAGGGTAGAATGTAAGACCCGTGTATATATATATATATACACACACACACACACATATATTTAATTATTTAATTTAATTTAATGGTTATCTATGTTTGAATTTAAAAATATAGGAGAGATGTTAGAATTTTTAAATTTAAAATTTAAATAGGAATCCTAAACTATCTCAAATGCAGTTATAGTTATCTTTATATTTCATGTCATATCAGTTCTACGAGGATATTATCATTATTTCTTTAAATATAATATTAGCACGATACAACGTGATAGGACGGAGATCCAGAGAGAAGTGATCTGACGTCGTGTCTTTCTGCAATAGCTGAGGGAAGGAACGATAATCTGGAATTCGCCTAGGAAGGAAGAATTAATTTTACCCTAGGCAAGTTAATCTTGCTTTGTATACTTATATATACATGTAACTTTTCCTATTTGGATTGATTGAAAATTATTGTAGCATGTTTTTATCTATTGCAGTAAATTAATTTAATGATGACTGGATAATGAAGATATGTATAGGTGAATTGCATAAATACTTGGAATTAGCTTGCTTGTTATGACTTTCTGTTCTTAATTTCTTATGACGATATTATAAATGTTTCTTATGAAACCTAGTTTTGCAATGATAAATTGCAATGATTAAAAGACTTGATGTAAGTGTATACTGACCATGACTAATGAATATGACTATAAAACTTATTGGTTAAATTCAGAGTAAAGAATGATAGTTATTTTATTCTAGAATAGATGAAAGATGTGTGATACACATGGCAATATATGTAGCCTCATGTGAGGATTAGTTTCAAGAATTGTATGGAATTTTCATATACGTGTACAATACATAGATGGTTATGCTTGTGTTGTTAAATATAGATTTATATATGTATGATATATACTTTGTCGAGGCCTAGTTCAAGTATTATTAGAACTGGGATCATCTTTGGGTATAGAACAGTGTGTTTAAAATGACTAGTTTAATGGTTAGACTTCATAGGTACATAATTTAGGTGGATTGATTGTGAAATCTAATTCGTAATGGTAATCTAAGTAGGATAAGTAGGGAAAGGAGAACCAAAAATGGGTCTCTTGTGCAAAACAGAATTATTTTTTTCTTTTAATTAATTACTATTATTATTTGATTTAAACTGAAGAAAAATAGGAAATAAATAGTTTTCATATTTCAAAAATTACAGTAAATTCTAGAATATTAGACTTTATCATAATGGACTTAAATGTGATAACTTACTGATTTTTAGATGATGTTTAGGTAGGTTAACTAAATTAAAACCGAAAAGTATTTTTTTTTCTCAACACTAAAAGGGAGAGTATGGAAAATCTATTAAGAGATAAATTCTGAAATTTTGCAGGGTATTATATCTATTGTTAGGCTATGTCCAGAAATTTTGTACTCTTACTAGTTAGATCATTAGGGTTTCATTTTTAAATTAAAATGATATTTGGGTGCATTAACTATTAATTTGAATTATTAATTAATGATATCTTTCATAATTAATAATTAATGGATGAATTTGGATTAGTCGGAGGGGTAGTCAGGGACTAACCCTATGATGACTTTTGGGTATGGTCAGGGACCTGCCTATTAGGATTGCACTATCCTTTTATTATGGCCATGGGTCTAATGAGCCCTTATTGTGTGGACGTAATCAGGGATCATCTGGGGAGTAGACGTACAATCCAGCCACACATGTGTTTTTGGTAGTCAGGGACTATACGATTCACACCACTTTATTGGATGGGAGCCCGGGGCTCATGTGAGATATACAGATTTATTAAAAAATAAATGATGGTTATTTATTGAGTTATAATTAACTGGAATATGCATATTTAATTAATGCATTTATTGAGTTGCTTATATATATGGGAATACAAGATAAGGTTAGCTTGCTGAACGATAATTGTGTTTAGTATTTCTTGCTGGGCTTATGAGCTCACCCTATTATCACATTTCAGGTGCTCGTAGAGTAGGAACGTGATGGGATCACATGATGTTGACGGATTTTGGCTAGCTTTTCGTATTCTTTGGTTTAGTTTAATTTCCCATTGTAATAAGAATGACGATATATTTTGATATTTAGTTCATTTTGTCCAGTTATCATGGATTACTTTGACAAGGTTGATTGTTATTATGGTTGTATCGATTTAATAAATTAGAGGGTGATTTACATCTATTTCTTTATTTAATTATCTTTTTTGTAAAGTTGTGGTTGTGTAAAAAAAGTCATGCCAGATTTTAATACGAGACAAGAGTTCATGTATTTCAGTTTTGGGGCGTGACAGTTAGTATATATTTTTCAATAATAGATTAAATATTGTTCAAATCATTTGATTTTTGTATTTAAAAGGTCCTTATTAATAATTGTAAGAAAATTTTCTTTATTAATATAAAGAAGTAAAGGCTAAAAAGAACCACATCAAAAGGACAGAATGCACACAATTTCATTTCGTATAGTAGACAACTAAATTAATATGCAAATGAGAAAAAGAGGATAAAAATTAAAAATGTGTCAAATAATATAAGGGTGTGTCATTTTAATTTTAAATTTTGATGACATTAAGGATGACCATTTTTTACCATATCAATTTATTACAAAACATGTATATTAAGAGAAATTATTCATTGTAATAATTGCAACAATGACATGGTGTAATTAACGATTACAAATACTCCATCAAAGTAAAGTGGACTTCATGTTTAGAATTTTAAAGATTTTAAAACTCCTTAGAGCATCTCCAACCATTGTGTGTGTATATATATATATATATTTGTAAATCTGATGTGTCATAATAGATTTATATAAAAAATTTGGATTATTTATTTTTAACTATAGCGGTTGTTTTATACCTTTTGTGTAAAAATATATCCCCCAATAACAACCAACCAATGTCATGCTTAGATCCCACATAATTTTTACAAACCTGCTTAATACATGGTTGATTCGTTAATGGAATGAGAAAGATAAAGAAGAAATGAAATATGCTGATGTGGTTATGTAAAAAAGTTGTGTAAAATATACAACAATTTTACACATTAGTGACGTGGCAGTGTATCTTAACAGACTGTTGAAGTTAAAAAAAAATTTACACATCATACGTGGCAATGCATATTTTACACAAAAGATTATTTTAACATACTGCTGAAGATGCTCAGCATCTCCAACCGTTGCGTATAATTTTTTGTGTAAATCTAATGTGTCATAATATAATTACACACAAAATTTAGATTATTTATTTTTAACTTTGGCGGTTGTTTTATACCTTTTGTGTAAAAATATATTCACAATAACAATCAACTAGTATCATGTCTGGACTCCACGTAATTTTTACAAATTTACTTAATATAGGGTTAATTAATGAGAAAGAGTGAGGAGAAATGAAATATGTTGATGTGACTATGTAAAAAGGTTGTGTAAAATACACAACAATTTTACACATCGTAGTAGTGTATCTTAACATACTGCTGGAGATTAAAAAAAAAAATTACACATCATACGTGGCAGTGTATATTTTACACAATAGAGTATTTTAACGAACTGCTGGAGATGCTCTTATACGCTTGAAAAGTTTTAATATCCCTTTATTATTTAATTTCCTTATTTGAAATTGTACTATAACCTACATGGAATTCATTTACATGAAGTGTATAATTTATTGAGTTTTATTATAGAAAATAATAGTAATAATGAGTTACCGTTTGGCTTCTTGGGGAAACCTATATATATGGCAATGCGATACACACTCTGTAAATCATCACACCTATCTCCTCTACC